CGGAAATTGGAATCTGAATTAGACAGAGATATCGTGTGTGCGTTGCAGTGTCCGGCTGCATTGATTTAATACACGCGGTGAGATACTTTTGAGCTTGCGATTAGCACAAAATCGGGCTCTTAATCTGAAAAATACTTGAAATAAAGCTCATTTTATGGTACCCATATTTCTTACAGACATGCATAAGATACTCGATTTTTCAGATTCGGGTAGCGGGACCGCCGATTACATTGCTAAAATGTGATATTTTAGGATATATTTTTCATTACAAATGTGGTTCTTCAGTGACTCTGGCATGGTATGGTATGTGTGGGATGTGGGATATGTGATATGCTGTTATGCGATGTATTTTAAAGGTATTTTACCATGCATCCAACCAATTGGCCGAAAACTGAAGCTGGTCGATTACCCCCTCCTTTACTCGTCTCTAGTCTAGACTAGGCCTAGACCGAATTTTCCGTCTCTTTCGTTCGTTAGCCTCTTATTGGGGTAGGGTCGGCTCTCTCTTTAGAGACGGAAGCCGTTTATACACATGTCCTTGCTAACGCCACGGCCAGTTCTGGTCGTAGCGTTTTGCCCCCAAAATCCCCCAAAATGTCATTTTACCTCGAGCATGTTATATTGTAAATTAGGCCTAGGCTATAATAAATCAGTTCCACTTACCAACTTGACTGAAATAATCAGTTTAATAGTCCCTTTTTAGGAAATTATGGGTCGAAATCGGAATCCATGTTGAAAAAGATTTTCAAAATGGATTTCGATTTTGACCCATAATTTCCTAAAAAGGGACTATTAAACTGATTATTTCAGTCAAGTTGGTAAGTGGAACTGATTTATTATAGCCTAGGCCTAATTTACAATATAACATGCTCGAGGTAAAATGACATTTTGGGGATTTTGGGGGCAAAACGCTACGACCAGAACTGGCCGTGGCGTTAGCAAGGACATGTGTATAAACGGCTTCCGTCTCTAAAGAGAGAGCCGACCCTACCCCAATAAGAGGCTAACGAACGAAAGAGACGGAAAATTCGGTCTAGACTAGGCCTAACCATAATAATAATCATCATCACCATCATCATCTAATAATATAAACAAAAACAGAAGATAACATTTTACAGATCAATTAGGTTTTTCGACAAGTAAGTTAGACATATCATGGCATGCAGTAACACAAACTGTGCAATCGTATATTTTGGGTGTGGGATTTACAAACACAAAACCGAATATATGGGACAATATATTGAGCTTACCTTCTTCCTTAGCTTCGCAAACTTTTTCTGGAGCATTTCCTCTTCTTCTGTGAGTTTGTTGGAGTAACCCATCGCAAAATATTTACAAAATACGGGGAAGAATGTATCAGGAGACAAGAAGTTCAGGAAAACCTTCTAATTAATTAGAGATAATCTATCGCTTGAGCTGAGCTTTTTTCTTCTTTTCGCTCTCTTGCACTGCTGAAATAACAGACTAATTTCTTCCTACGTCGATTTATGAATAGGGACTCTTCGATTTGCGTGGACTGATAGATACGTGTGACGTCCATTCAAGGCAGTGCATTAAAAGGACGTCGATCGTAGCAATCCTGCATTGTCTTCGTGCGAATCTAAAAGTCCCTAATGAGCGAAGAGAGGTCATCGATCCCGATATAATTAAAGCATAACCAATGTCATTAACGCAGACGAGACAGTGTTAACAAACAACAGAACTAAATACAAAACGCCGCAAATTTCTAGCTCGGAGGAATGGAGGGGAAGGTCGAATATTCTAAGGATGCCAATGCCGTATCAGGACAGTGCACAGTAACCCTCTGGACATTCACCCCCGGAAACTACCCCCCCCCCCCCCCAAGGACAATAACCCCTCTGAAAATTACCCCCAAGGACAACGTACCCCCCGAGTGAGCCCTTAGTTTGGCCCTCGAAAATTTGAAAAAAAGGTAAAATTAATGCGTTTTTCCCCAGGGGAGGGGGCCCCCTGGATCCGCCACTGAATTGTCCTGGGGGGGGGGGGGGTGTTGTCCTTTGGGGTAGTTTTCCGTTGTGTAATAGTCCTAGAACCGTCAAAAGCCCCTGCAGCAGCTGAATGCGTGGCTACTTTCAATATTATTGTTTAAATAATCATATTTGATTTTAGATTTTAGTTAGATGAAGTTGAGTTCTGGTCATGCGATTGCATTGTGAAAGAAACGGTGTGGAATCGACCGGAAAAGGTTGATCATCTAGCATATAAGAATTTGTGTGTATTGCAAGGTTCTGGAATCATCAAAATGATAAGAAATTTGGCCAAGTCTTGGTAAAGTAACAAACACTGTACACAGAAAGATGTATATGGGACTACACGAACACGTAGCGTAAAAAACCTACCCCCCGAGTTTTACGATGTACATGACATATTTAGAATATGAAGGCATTTGAAGAGCCATGCTTTTCAGGGAACATGTCTTATCTGATGTTCTTCCACACTTGCATAATAAGAATGAGTAATGCTCACAAATTATTTTTCACCTCTTCCCAGAACTCAACCCTCCCACTTTGATTTAAACAAAAAATTGGGCTCGACCCCCTCTCACCCGTGAGAAAAAAGTATCCGATTCCTCTTCATTCGATTCTAAATTGGAGGGGTATTATGCAGTAGGCCCGCCCTGTTCTCCAAAAGCTTCTGTATAGGGTATACCCGGGATATACACCCATTCTGCTCTGAGATTATCTTGAGATTTTAATTTCACCCCAGGCTAGTTGGCGCCAGCTTGGGGCATTTCGACCGATCCATAGATCTGTTTATCTTAAAACAAATCTCATCTCTCTATACCCCCTCACCCTTACTCCCCTCCCGTCTCTTCACTCTCTCTCTCTCTCTCTCTCTCTCCCTCTCTCTCTTTCTCCCGCTCTCTCTCTCCCCCTCTCTCTCCCTCTCCTTTTCTCTCTTTATCCTGCTCTCCCGGCCCCTCTCACCCCTTTCACCTCCATTTCCTGCATGTGTGCCTACCTTTCTTTATTTTGGAAGTAATGTCTCTCATTTTGTTTTCTTCTTCAAAAGAACGTCCATTCATGCCTTTCCTTGAGGCAGTCTCGGTCTGCGTTTTTATTTCAATATCTGTCATAATTATGAATAGCTCTGTAACTGTATCAGTGGAGGATCTATAGGAGGATCTGTAATGGGCTGAAAGGCGGGTTATTTTGTTTTCTGCGCCATGGTTATAATGTTGCTCATCAATAGTTCCCCTTTCCTCTCTCCATTCGTACCTTCTTTCTTTCTTTTTTCTATATATCTATCTTTCTACCTATCCATCCATCTATCTATCTACTTCTCTCTGTTTCTTTGTTTATTTATATATATAATTATATACATATTTGTTGTTGTTTTGTGGCCATTAGAGGGGGATGCACTATTATATGCCACCATATATAGCTCATGGATTTACAAAAAAGTATGCCTCAAATAGGATGAACCATCATAAATATTGGTCCTTTGTGAAAATTGTCTTGCATTATTTGTTGTCCAATATAATCTTTAAAGATTTCTGAAATACTGCATGTTAACCTCTTCAAATTACTGTTTTAAATCAACTGTCCAAACACACAACCTGTACCTGACACAACGGCCCGAATTCACAAAGCAAGGTTTGAGCTCAGACCAAGGTTTGACCTCAAACATTTTGACCTCAAACAAACCTTGACCTCAAACAAACCTGATTTGTAAATAACAAAGGGAGGTTTGGCGAAACAAAAGGAGGTTTGAGGTCAAACCTTGGTCTGAGCTCAAACCTTGCTTTGTGAATTCGGGCCAATGTCTTGGTCGTGAAACATGTAAATGAATGCCAACTGTGGGCAACAAACTGGACCTGCCCTTCTTCACTGCAGGCGCGTAGCCACGGGGGAGGGGGGGGGGGGGGCACGTGCCCACCTAAAATTTCCAAGATCGGTTGATTTTGTTTAAGACCCCTTTTTTTTTACCTCGATCGATTACATATAGTGCCCCCCCCCCCAAACATCGAACTCTGGCTACGTCGCGGCCTGCTTCACTGAGCTCTGTGTTACAAACTACAAAAATGTGAAGTGTATTGAAGTTTACGTCATCATAAACAGAGAAAATTCTTATTCTACTTTTCTATTCTAGTAGACGATTGTACCTGCGTGGGAGTCAGAAATGTTGTATCAGACACATACCGAACAAAGGCCACTCGAACTCGAACGTCTGGACTTTGGTTCGACAGACCTTTTTTCAATCACCTATACATTTTTTCTCAAGTTCACCGGGATTGTGACCTACATTTACTACACTTACTGTCCTTTAAAACAACGTAGGGTAAAGTTACTGATTAACATTATGTCGCTGGATCAAATGATAATAGTAATACAATAATAATGGTAAATTTCATGAATAAATGTCGAATATGATAGTATGCTTTGAAACGGGTACTAACATTACGATCAAATGAACATCTCTTGCCTGAAAATTGTTTTATTGTTTGCCAGCGAGCGATCATAATTCAAATGCCTAATGTATATCTTTTGTTACATCAAATCATGCACATGTAGGGCAAGTACGCATTATTATACAAGTTATGATGTCTTAGTGAGCACATTTTTTTTGTTTTGGTCCTCGAAAATTTTAAAATTTGCACCCCCCCCCCCCCACTTTGAGCGCCAGGGGGGGGGGGGGGGGGGCAATCCCCCCAAAAGGTAATCACGTGTTTTTACATGAACTTCTGACATCTTGGCCCGAATTCACAAAGCAAGGAATTTGAGCTCAGACCAAGGTTTGAGCTCAAACCTCCTATTGTTTCGCCAAACCTCCTTTGTTAAAAGGAGGTTTGGCGAAACAAAAGGAGGTTTGAGCTCAAACCTTGCTTTGTGAATTCGGGCCTTTAAGTTTAGGTACTCAATTTTTGGCGTCTCAATTTAATTGCAGCTTTGATCATACCTACCCATGCATGATTGAACCCTGTATATGCATGGCAGTAGCAAAACCGATTTGGATCGGGTGCTGATATAATAAGGCTCACAAAACCACGTGACTAAAGACCAATAAGTAGGGCGGCCGACGTGGTTGTTCTTTGGGTTCAGTTGTGTGCGTCAATATTTGACGGACAATCGAGGAAGCCTCTGGATCCAGTCAGACGTTATCTTAGCGGATCGGAACGACCGACAACTAAATATGAGCAACTGACCATTTCCGTGTACGGATCTATGATCTAGATGAGACCATTACAAAACGTATTTAAAGCTAGTTAAGTTCAGTCATACACCGAGAGACTATAAATCTGCGGAGAAATTGTTCTTATTCTATTCGAGAAGACGGATTTAATTAGAATCTTGCCTAGTTTTTGTTCTACTATAGTCTACCCGGACAGCTTTCGCCATGGCATCGGAACGGGACATTTCTAAGCGCGTTGAGAGTTGTTCTGCTTTCGAATTTCAGTTGAAAGACACGATGATAGCGATTTGGAGCAATGAATACGATGAAGATCACAACAAAGAGGTAAGCTGGTCAATAGTATAATATAATTGTATGTATGAGAGCATTAGCACTACAGCATGATCTTAAGAGCCTGTTGTATATACCTCCTAATCCTCACTATACCACAGTTACAGCATTGTACCAATTATTGACAAACGATGCCTATTAAATAATAGTGGGTGGAGGTAAAAGAATCAAGATGTTACATCGAAAGTTAGAATATATAGACTCAAGGTGGTTACCCTATAATGCCGATATACGTCTTAGTATCGAAGAGACTCATAGTACGTTCCGGATTCATTCCTTTAACATACCTGGCCATATACGCACTAGCATTGACTCTCTATGCTTTGCTGGAGTGGCCATATCTAGTGTATTAATGTAATTGCAGATTTACAGGGTTAGCTTTGCATTTATGTTCATTCTTTATGGGATGCCGTCTGCTTGGGCAGTATTGGTGCATTATGTGACATCATTAAAACATCGTTATTTTTCTGGCGAATCTCTCGTATATCCCAGATGCTAAGGACCCAGGTCGGAATTCCAGTTGAAACCAGTAGGCAACTGGTACCAGTTAAAACTAGTAAGTCAACTGGTAATTGAAACAACGCTAACTGAGACCAGTTGAATTACCAGTTGATTTACCAGTTCAATTACCAGTTGATTTACCAGTTGAATTTCCAGTTGAATTACCAGTTGATTTACCAGTTCAATTACCAGTTGATTACCAGTTGATTTACCAGTTGAATTTCCAGTTGAATTACCAGTTGATTTTTCAGATGATTATCCAGTAATCAATCAACTGATAATCAATAATCATTATTAGCATCTGGCCACCAACTTGACCACATATACTAACTCTTGCAATTACCCCATCACAATGATCATTTGAAGTAGATTACAGATGTGTATTGTGTGATTTGACATATATTGTTCGTGCATACATATATACAAATTTATACACTTTATTTCTGGTTAGTAATTACATATATATCAATATATCTCATTTTACGTCTTAAATCAGATGAAAAACATGATCAGACGTGTGTAATATATTTGTCAATAATTAACTAAGAAAATGTAAATCACAAAATGTATGTGCATTGTCACATTTGCTTGAAAGATCATGATAATTATATTTTCTGTGAAAACATGCAAATCATGAATATTCATAAGATACATTGAACTGGTTTTTCAACTGGTAAATCAACTGGTATTCGTACTGGTTTTCAACTGGTAAATCAACTGGTATTCGTACTGGTTTTCAACTGGTAAATCAACTGGTAATCTTACTGGTTTTCAACTGGTAAATCAACTGGTAATCATCTACTGGTTTTCAACTGGTACTCATCTACTGGTTTTCAACTGGTAATCATCTACTGGTTTTCAACTGGAATCAACTGGTAATCATCTACTGGTTTTCAACTGGTAAATCAACTGGTGATCATCTACTGGTTTTCAACTGGTAAATCAACTGGTAACCATACTGGTTTTCAAATGGTAAATCAACTGGTAATCATCTACTGGTTTCAACTGGTAAATCAACTGGTAATATCAACTGGTCTCAGATGTCAACTGGTATTTCTACTGGTTTCCAAAATGTATCAACTGGTATCAACTGGTACCAGTTAAGACCAGTTGAGACCAGTTGAGACCAGTTCAAACCAGTAGATACCAGTTGGAAATCCTTACTGGTTTCAACTGGTATCAACTGGAATTTCGACCTGGGGAGGTGGTTGAATTGTATTTTTATGAATCACCCGACCAGTTTCTAATGATACATTAGTTGACATATCTGTGATTTTCTTTGAATTTACACTTTAATACAAAGGTTATGCTTTCCTTTTTCTCTTCAAGGGTATAATAAATCTTTCGACTGCACACAACGAGGCAATCCAAGATCTCATCACTGAAAAGGTAAAGTTACTCTTACAGTCATGATGCTTTTTCATCATCATGTATCTTGTCGAAATGGCGTTAAGTAATATTATTTCTGCATTTTTCATAGAGACATTATTATATTTTCATATGGAAACGTTTGCTTAATTGCCGGTTATGTCTCATAAAAAAAGCTGACCGCAAGTCCGCTAACTCCCACCGTGTTGAGTGCATTGGGTCAAGGGCCACTGACTTCATCGGGCAGGAAGTTCTATATGTGAATAGGTAAATTCCGGCAACAACATGCGAACGATCAGAAGAAAGCTAACGATTCATTTCATTCATTAGCGGCCCACCCCAAAGCCGCCTGACCACAATGAAAAGAGTGAGGATCGACTTGCGAGAGCGACCGAAATGCAATCGAAAATCGCTATTTTGCTCTTCAATTCTCCAACGCAAAAAGAGACGATATTGTGCGGGATTACTAAGTTTTTTCCGACAAAAGTACAGAGAAATTGCATATCATTTTTTATATTATACTTTTTGAAAGGTTACCCAAGTGAAGAGTGGCGTACGCAAGATTTTTTTTTCAAGGGGGGGGGGGGGGGGGGGGGAGGAACATAATTTTTTTTTGGCCCCAAATTTTTCGCAACGACTCAGGGGGGGGGGGGGGTAGGTCACTTTTGGGGGGTCACCATTTGGTACCCTAAACCCCCGCTGCGTACGCGCCTGCAAGTGACTCCTGGGCACCCCATTGCTGGAAAGAAACGCACTTTTTTGTTGTTAAAAACTTTACTTTTTCATGCTAAAATGCTTATTAGTATTATGCACGCAAGTCAGATTGAGCGGATGATAAGATCACTTTTTTTTGTGGCCCCAAATTTTTCGCAACGACTCAGGGGGGGGGGGGGGGGGGTATGGTCACTTTTGGGGGTCACCATTTAAGTTTTTTGTTGTTGTTGTTGTTTTCATCAAAAATCACACACATAAACAAAATTGAGGGGGAGGGGGTTCAACCCCCCCCCCCCCCCCCAAAAAAAAAAAAAAAACCGCTGCGTACGCGCCTGCAAGTGACTCCCGGTCTCCCCAAGGTAATGAATGGTCGAAAGTCGAGAGAAGGTTGCGTTTCGGTCAGACAACAATAGAGGGCACATAGAGAGAGAGAGAGAGAGACAGACAGACTGACTGACTGACAGAAGGAGAGAGCTGATGTAAAGAAGAAGGCGAAGATCAAAATTGGATACCCTCTTGTTCCAAGTATTAATCTTATCGTATGGTACAGGCCTGTTTTATTCGATCTGAATTATGGATTGAATTAAATCTGAATTATGAATTGAATTTGATTTGGATTATGAATCGGATTTGATCTGAGTCGTGAATTGAATTTGGTCTTCATAATGAATTTAATTTAATCTGAATTATGAATTTTTTACAAGCGCGTAGTTAGGATTTTATTTTAGGGGGAGGGGGGGGGGGGCGGTAGTAATCACGCGTAGCATGCCAACTTAGTCTGAATTATGAATTGAATGTTAGTCTGCACTTTGTACTATCGCATTTCGTGTTATTTATGTTCAATTCCATTGTATTATTCTGTATCCATTTGTATCTTATTGATGTTTATAATCTGTAATTTACTAATTTTGTATTGACATGCAAACGAAACAAATTTACAATAAATGGACAATAACATTTGAATTGAATTGAATTGAATTGAATTTCATAGTAGGTCCATGGTTGTACAAACCTGATTGAACCATCTGGAAGATTAAAAGCTGTCCAGATCCAGCGCTAAAGCTAAAAAAGACAACACAAGAAAGAAGGGGACAATCTTGAAAAGCAAAAAAAGAAAGAAAAATAAATCGACAAACTAAATCCAGCTACTACAAGCATAATAAGTTACATAGCAAAAGCTATATGCTCAGTCCGGCCCTCCCTGTATCTTAAAGGTAAAGACCAGTTTTTGGAGACTCCCCCTCTCAAAAAATGAAATGGAAGCTCTTATTACCAATCATGTGAAAGACTATGTTTTGATTAATACGTGATGATACAAATTTTGCCGGGAAACCACATACCGTCTGATTCTAATTGATATATTTGGTAAATTATCATATCAATCGCAACTTATTTGTGATTGATATCAATCACATCTATGTACATAAGAGATGGGAGACTGCAAACTTGTGATTGATTTAGGGACTTGATATTGATTCGGATCAATATCAACTCTTTGTAAGACGGGGCCCTGGCCTGGATAGACACGCGAATGCACTTCAACATTGAACATTTGGACATATATTTCTGCTTTTTGCGAATTTAGGTTGAAGTATTGCCATCTCAAACTCTGAAGGCATTATGTAAACAATATTGAATGGAAATTGCACTCAAAACCCTTGAACCGCAATTTTACCACTACCGGTCTATATCTTTAACCTCGTTTCGCTACTTCCATTCAAAATCATTTATTATTTTTGACAAATATTAGTTGAACCAGCCAGACTTCATGACGTGGGACTCAACGATGCTACCATACAATGGGCATCGCAATGGTAGTCTCCGCCTCCGGAAAGCCTTGTCCGAGTTCTTATCTTACTGCAGTGGTCAGAAAGCTCCAGAAACTCTCGATCCGGAAAAGGTATATTTTCTGACCGCATTGCCAATTTGTCTCCCAGATTCCATTAAAAAAGAGAAGATTTTGACAGATTTATATATAATTTCCTTATTTGTTCTACGATTTTTCTCACACATTCACAGAACTATTGTTTGATTTTTCTGCTTCTATTATCAGGGTGGAATTCCCCTTTAAACGACGATGTTTTATTTTTTTTTAAATTTGTTCAACGTCTCGATATAATGCTATTTGAATATTTTGATGACAATAAACGACACAGGGTACTATTTTTGTGTAACGTAAAATGGCAATCACATGCCAAATAAATGATTATCAGTTGCGGGGTTTAATAATTTAAAGAAAAGAAAATGTTAAAGAAATCATTCCTCTTCTTCCCCTACTTCTTCCCTTTCTTCATCTTCTCCTTCCTACACCTAGTCAAGGGCGTATCTAGGGAGGCGGGGGGGGGGGGGGGTGGGGGTGTTTTGGGTGTTTTAGGTGTTCAGACCCACCCCCCTTGGCAAAAGGGGGATGTTTCAGAACCCCCCCCCCCCCCCCCCCCCCCCGCCGCGTATTCACCGGCTTGCTGATTCGCGGCTAAATGTTTTCTCACGAATCGGGCAAAAAATACCTCCCCCTAAAAATCCTGGCTACGCCTTTGATCCTAGTATGTCAATAGCAGCGCAGTATCATAATTGTTATCATTGTTGTCATTATTGTAAGTATCATCAATGTATTGAGATATATCGTGAGTTTTCTCGCGTTATGGATTCAAAGACCAGTTTTAGAGGTTTGTATTGCTCCAGTCTTGTGTGTTTATTACTATCCCTGACAACTACCCTCTAGGACAACCACCCTCTAGGGAAACTACCCCCTAGACAAGTTCCCCAGCAAACTACTCCCAGGGCAACCACAACTACACCCGGATAACTACCCCCAGACAACTACCCCTGGACAAGTTCCCCACACAACTACCCCGGCTGAGATAACCATCCTCCAGGGCAAGTTCCCCCAGACAACTACCTTCTTGGGCAACCGCCCTCTAGGACATATACCTCCTTGACATCTAACACCCATACTATGGTAATTGCCACCCAACTACCCCCGGACAATAACCACTTAGGGTAATTATCAATCGGACAACAACCAACATACATACTGGTCCGGGGATAGTTATACTAGAGGGTGCTGCCCTAGGGAGTAGTTGTCTGGGGTATTTATCTGGGGGGGGGGGGGGGGTGGTGTCCTAGAGGGTGGTTGTCCTAGTGGGTAGTTGTCTGGTGGTATTTGTCCTAGGGGGTAGCTGTGTGGGGACTAATCATCCTAGAGGGTAATTGTCCCGGGAGGTAGTCGTCCTAGAGGTCGGTTGCCCTAGGGGGTAGCTATATAGAGAGTGGTTACCCTAGGGGTGGTTTACCCGGAGGGTGGTTGTTCAGGGGGTAGGAGTCCTATAACCATTTTGACTTTGTCTACTACTCGCATTACTGTTCATGCAGCCACACTTTTCCACACGTCATCTTTAATAAATGTGGATGACATTCGCGTATGAGGGAAGTAATTGAGCTAAAATGGAAGGCCTGTATTTCAGTATATACCCACTTAACATGAGGATCAGCTAACGTCTCTAATCTAAAGTCAACATCTCCCTCAAATATGCACAGTGGATTGTACAGTTTGGTCTTTCTTATTCTCATTCGTATAGTTCATAGTTCTGAATGGAGTGACGTCGGCACTGAGTGCGATGGCTTACGTTTTATGTGATAATGGAGGTATATATATTTACTTTATGCTTCTCACTCAATTATTTGTTCTCCAATATCTGAAATACAGCACTAATTACAATTTACGGAATTCCAATACAAATCTGATAGCAAATCAACTGCTCCTGTCACTTGTAAAGAATGACCGTTTCCAAATAAAATCTCGAATTCATATTAGGGAAGATTGAGGACTGTCGGGGGAAAATGGGGGTATTGCAATTAAAATATTATTAATCCGGGCACATTTTCACGACATGTACCCCCCCCCCCCGGAATACGTTCTTAAACGTCCCGGCCATATCACCGCCCCCCCCCCTGAAACACAGAATAGGGGGGGGGGGGGGACCCTATACGTATGAACTGCTTTGAGTCCCCTTCTCAATTTAAGGTCCTTGTAAGAAAAGGCAAAAAGCAGATATGATGACCACATTTTTATGCCACATGTTTGTGTGGTCCCATATACATCTTTCTTTGTACAGAGCTTGTTACTTTTCCCAACTGAAAACAGGCCAAATTTCTTATCATTTTGATGATTCCACATCCTTGCAGTACACATCAATACTTAACTGCTAGTACAATATCCATTTTTTTCTGATTGATTCCACACTGTTTCTTTCACAATACAATCGCATGACTTTATCTTTAACTTTATCTTTAACTTGAAGATCTCATACATATCCTTTGTAGTCATTACGATTGTAACGTTTCCATGTTCACACTTGCCTTCACAAACTACGTTACTGCAGACACCATTTTGACTCCTGCTCCCATGTATGGAGCTATACCACGTGACCTTCTGTTCCAGTATGGAGCGAAGACATATCCAGTGCATCTTAGCAGCAAGGTAAGTCTGCATTTTTTTCAAGTTTCACTAAGGTGGAAAAAAGAGAAAATATATCATATTTTGCTATTTTGCCAACCAAAGAAAACTTCTCAAATGAATCCAGATTACTGACAGAAAGTTAAATATCATCGCACCCCAGTCCCGGCCTTAGCGGGCTCCTGGTTACCCTTTCTTATCTGAGATCGAGAAACTTGTGTTTTTCACTTTTAACGTACTCTTCTAGACTTTTAAATAAGTTCAGGACCCATTGAGATAAATTTTAAAGGGATTTGTTTTCTCTTTCATATTGAAGGCAGGACCAGATGGAAGAGAACCGTTTGAACTGACAGTTCCTCTTCTTGAGTCAGCGTTGGAAAAAGCAAAGGAGGAGGTATGTACAGTGGCTACAGTCCACGCGACGGACATCCCGTGAGAACGACAATCGGCTCTAATGCTAATTTATAATGGTTGTTCTGGGGGCGTTTCATGAAACAATCAGTCGGTGGTTTCATCGACTAATATCATTTTCACCGACAATTTTATTGTCACCGACTTTTTTCCAGGCCTATGATTGGTCAAATTTAGTCAGCGCTGACAGTTATCGGCGGAAAAATGTTGATGAAACGCCCCCCCCCCCCCCCCTGGACCCTGTTTCATAAAACTTGACATCAATAACACGTTACAAGCTACTGTTATAAACTACTGAAATCATGGCATCCGATTGGCTGAGACCACATTTGTCATAGAAATTTAGCCGTTGTTAAAATAGATAATAATTTTTTATGAAACGGGCCGCTGTTATGTTTGTAGCATATTTAGATACCCTAAATATATTTGTATCATGATACTGGTGTAGACTTGTCGTGGTCTAGTGGATACGTTGCATATGACGGTGGTTCATATGGTTCACGGTTCGAGTCCTGCCGCGGTACTAATCATTTGCAGGCGCGTAGCCGGGGGGGGGGGCACATGCCCCCTAAATTTCCAGGATAAGTTGCATTTTTTTAGACCCATTTTTTTTTACCTCGATCGATTACATGTATGTGCCCCCCCCCCCCAAATATCAAACTCTGGCTACGTGCCTGGTCATTTGGCAGTTCATTAATCTACATTTTCCATACTTGATCCATTATTATTATTATTATTTTATCATCATTGTTCTTGTTCTTGTACTTCTTCGTAGTCTTCTTCTTATTATAATTATCATTATTAGTATTATCATTACTATTATTACTATTTACTATATAATTATTATCATCATCATTATCATTAATATCAATATTATCGTTACTATGATCATTATCATTATCATTATCATTATCATTATCACTATTATTATTATTTTTTATCATTATTATTAGGGACATAACGTCAGAGCTCTTTTGCTGGTCAATCCTGTCAATCCGTATGGAACTGTGTACACCAAACAACAAGTTTTGGAATACCTCACATTTTGCAAAAGGTATGTTTTCGACTGAGATACGATATATAGATGCAATGAAGAATAATAATAGAATAGTCGACCGCAGGCCAGGCGCGGATCCAGGATTTCTTAGGGGAGGGGGCCCAACTTTTTTTTTTTTTGCTCCCGAAAATTTGAAAATCGCGCCGGCCGAAAAGTCGCTCAGTTGGGGGGGGGGGGGGGGGGTAGTGAGCACATTTTTTTTTTTTTTTTTATCCTCAATTTTTTTTTTTTTTTTTTTTTTTTTTTTTTTTGCTCTCGAAAATTTGAAAAAAGGCGCCGGCCAAAAATTCGCTCAGTGAGGGGGGGGGGGGGGGGGGGGGGGGGGGGGGGGGGGGGGGGGGGGGGGGGGGGGGTAGTGATCGCATTTTTTTTTTTTTGATCCTCAAAAAAATTTCAATTTGCACCCCCCCCCTTGAGCGCCAGGGGGGGGGGCCCAACCCCCAAAAAAGGTAAAAATCACGTGATTTTACATGATTTTTTTCTCAAGGGGGGGGCCCGGGCCCCCCGGGGCCCCCCCTGGATCCGCCACTGCCGCAGGCAGATGTGCTAGTTCCCGAGAGCCTATAAAAAGCCACACCTCGAATATTAAAGCAGTCGAATTGAAACAAAAATCTACCAAGAATTCTTACCTTATCCTTTTATTGAGTAAAGATTGGTTTAAACATCACGTAAAATCTAACGTCTGTTAATCTTCGCTGGAAAATGACTGAAAGTTTCAATGGAGATCGCAACCAAATTTAAATATTTTTCTGGTACCCGGAATCTTGCAGGAAAATCACCCATGAACTATTGACTATGTGTTCATCTCTTTGCGGGAATATCCCAATTCACGACTGCAATTTCGACCAGTCAGATGGCTAGATTTCTAAAGAGAGGTATATAAAATAGGATAGGATATGTTAGGCAGGATAGGATAGAATATAATAGAATATGATAAAATAGAATAGGATAGAAGAGATTACCTTGCGGTATAACAAGAGATGTTAAATGCCTTATATTCTTACTAAATTAAATCAGAGAATGTGTTTCTGAATATTCAGACTGTACCCCCAAAAGGAATATTGTAATTGCCGTTTTATATACGTTATTTAATTACTATCAGGTTTACCTAAATATGGTTTGCCAAAAATTGCTTAGTACATATAGTACGTTTAGTGTCAAAACAGTTGATTTGATATCAAGTCTTCTGTATTTGATTTGACACGATGCCCATTTCCATATACTTATTGAATTGAAATCATTTCTATGTATCTTTCGCGTATTTTGTACTTATTTGTTATTACACTGTCTTCATTCTTAAACATAAATATACTAAAATGAAGTTTAAACTTCCGCCAACCTTAGAATTGAGTAAGTTGGTAGAAGCTTGAAATACATGGAATCAATACTTCAAACAATGAAAGTTTTTTTCATCATTCATGGTATATGTGAATATATGATACAGAGTGCAAAATACAATAATATTTTTTTCAATGTAACAAAGTAACTTAATCTATTGTTGTAATATATTTTTTTCATTTACAGGCATGATCTACATTGTGTGCTTGATGAGATCTATGCTGCTAGTATCTATGACGAGTCTGTAGAGAGTTCCAGTATATTCACCTTGCATTCAGATGAGCTACCGGACAAGACAAAGACACATGTCATATGGGGAATGGCAAAGGTTAACAATTTACGATCCATTTTCATGGTTTGATAGTTTGTTAAAATTCGACTGCTAAGAAAGCATGTGCATGCCTGTCAGTAAGCAGCAGGGGACCAACGACTTTAAGTCCTCTCCGAGGGACTTGGTGATGGTGATTAGGCCCCAATAAAAGGCCATGGCCCAAGCCCATTCCCCCTTCTGTAATGCCCGGATCCGCCCTTGTGTTGGCCCTACATACCTATGTTTTCCCTAAATAATATATCACATATTTCCTACCTCTTATTTTTACAGTGAAACAACAAACAATAATTTTATTCTTCACCAAATCCTGATTATCTATTTATTCATTTATCTGTTTGTTTGTTTTTACAGGATTTTGGAATGCCAGGTTCTCCATTCGGGGCCGTATATTCATGGAATCCTCGGGTTTTAGCTGGCCTAGGACAATTAGTCGATTTCTACCAGATTCCAAGTTTCATTCAAATAGCTTTGGCAAAATTACTTGAGGACAAAGGTAAAGAAGTGTCATTTTCGTATTTACATCTTTTTATACCCGTATAATACAACTAAAAGACCTCCGATGAGATTCATCTGTTTGGTAATGTATCAATTAGCAAGAGCGCCAGCTATGTTGAAAGTCTGAAGAAGCTTGAAGATCTGCAAGTGAAATTTAAAAATACACGATAATAATCATTGTGTAGAAGAACTAACTTAATACTCTCAAAGAGTCTCTATGTAACAAGTCGAAAATCCTTTAAAGGCCCACTGCACTACTGGTAGCTACTTGCGCCCTCTATATAACAAACAATGCCTAATCGGTGACCATTGGTCCCCCATGATCCTCTTTTTCTTATGTTAACTGAGAGCTGAGTTGATGAGATAACCACCTGTCCAGTGACCTTGCAGAGCGGTCTAATCCCTCCTGTAAACTACGGCAGATAAGCTTTAAGGAATACTGTCTTATAATAAATCAATCGCCTTTAACATAGATAAAGTAGAAAAGCAGAGTTTACCTTTCTTGATGAATTGGAGAGTTTTTTAACCTTTTATTTCACATGAAAAACGATAGATAAACAAAACAAAGCATATGAACAAAATTGATATTCATGGACTACAAATACACATACACAGTATAAGTTTGCATTTACACTAGATATTCTCGAAATTACATGTGAAAAAAAGGAACTTGATAAAAAAGGCATAGCTTGTAGAGTTTAAGTTCCTCAAAATAATTTAGGTTAGGGTTAGGGTAATATACAATTTTTTGTGATTTCCTGTTGATGTACCATTTGGGGTTACATATGAATGTCTTGTTGATAAAACGAATAAGGTTATACATGTTTATATAAATATATTTATATATTTTTTGTAATACTTAGAATGGTTGAAATCGTACCTTCCAACTCACAATAAGATGTTGATGGAATCGGCAACTATCGTAATGGAAACTCTGAAAGAGCTTGATGTGCCATTTGTGAAACCCAGTGCAGGGTTATTCATTTGGGCTGACTTTAGAAAGGTGGGTATATTAGTCTATGCTATATAGTATTTATGGCATTTTTTTTAATTCACAAAGTACAAACAGTTGTATTAAACATGTATCTAAAATGGCTATGAAGGTAATTTTAGACCCCAAAATGTGTGAAATTTAGCCAATACGATCATACCAATTCAGATCCACTTTCCACAAAATATGGTGAGCGTATATTAATTAATTAATTAATTAATTGATATTAACAATACACAGGCCGGGTAGTCGTGCGTATTATAACCAACACGAAAAAGCCAACAAAAAGCCAACATTGGCATTGGCTGGCCGGAATAAAACATATAAGACACTATCTCGTTTTTCAACGGGTAGTTCAAATTAGCGAATATTTTATGGATATTTCAGCCGTCTCTGAACCGATCAAACAAAGATGATTTTGTCGAAATGTAATATGTTCGTGCGGTCTGTTGTCGGTCTTGCCCGTGTGAAGAAGGTATGAATCTTTGTTGAAATAAAGCCCGGATGAAATGTCGGGACAACTCTTTAGTTCTACAACTCAATGACAGGCAATATCCTTCCTCTTTCGATCATGCACGCAGATCATCACGAATGCAAGCAAACAAACCGAGAAGCAGTTTGCTTTCCACTGTCTTGACCACGGTCTCGGTCTCGCACCAGGGGCGGCCTTCTATTACAACGAATTCGGCTGGATTAGACTCGTCCATGCCCTACCGAAATGCAAACTCATCGAAGGTAACAATGAAATACTATTTACATTTTTTTTATGAGAGTGTAATTATACCTTGATATCATTTTTATGCGTATGAGGCGAGGATTAGGACCGGGGGGGGGGGGGGAGGGGGCTTTTCATATTTGGTTTGGACGGTGGAGTGCCGCTCAAGCCTCGAAACCCATACCCATTTTTCAAAATCTATGGGTGGAATTTGCAAATTTTGCACAAAAAATTGAAAAAATTGACCCATTTTCAATGGTATTTTCATTAAAAGTGGGACCTATGTTTAGGGATTTTTTGTGAAAAAGTGACCCATTACAGCGGCAGTCCCCGTATGTCCTAATATGTGAGTACCCCCCCCCCCCAACCAGGGGGATTAGGGAGGGGAGGGTGGTGAGGGGTCTGCAGCTTCCTGAAATTACCAATATTCACAGTAAAAACATTTAGAAAGGGGAAATTTCGAATCCAGGTAAGAGACTTCCCCCGACATATTTATATTTGTAACCATGCGTCTATGTCTATATTGGATCAAGAAAGCTCACTTTAACAAAAAATGAAACGTGATAATTTAGTATTTTTTTAGTTTTCAATATCTTTTCCCTGTTTCCAGGAATGAAGAGACTTAAAGCGGCATGTGCAACATTCCAAACGAACAACATCACTCATGCAAACTGAGGCATCAGGGAATAATCTTCAGACAGATCGGTGGCGTAGCGTGGATCCATGGGGCACTTGTGTCGTGGGGGCGAAGGCGCATTTTTTTGTGTGTGAATGAAATCCGAGAGAGCAAGGCGGTCGAGTTAAGTGGGGGTCACTTTCGTCATGTTCCGTTTCCCTTCACCCTGTAACAATGCCACTCAATTAGAGCCGAGACGCAATGGGAATGACATTTTCAAGGGAATTTCGGATGTGACAGGGCAATCTTTTATCAACCTGTCCCATAACAAGTCATGTACAATAACATTTTGACCTGTCCTTTGACGAAACATTCAAAATTTCCCTCCACGCTTATAGTGTCCCCTCCCTCCCATCCTTCTGCTACGGAGGTAGTGACATTCATTCCAACGGTGAAGTTTCGAACCCCGAAATAGTAAAAAATTCAGAAAAATGCACAACACTTCCTCATTAGGAAATATCATAGAGTCTTATGGATTAATTTTGTCAGAATGAAGAGTTGTGGATGTCCTTACCGTCTTTCGGTCATTTTAGGAGACTGGCGGCCATTCTGGACGCATTGTATGTATGTGGTATGATTAAATTCTTCGACTCCAAAAACATAGGTTTAGACAGCACAACGAAATCTCTAAGATGGATATATTGTTATCTTGTTTTCCTTTCCTTTCTTTTCCCCCCTTATATATTGTTTTTCTTCTCCCTATTTTACTTTCTCTTGTCTTATAGGTAGTTGAAGTGTTTGTACTTTGCTTATTTTAATTAATTCATTGTTGTGTGCTTATAATATGTTATATTTCTTTTTGTATTGTTTTTCATTCTTTAATGGGCGATCCAACTTCACAGGTTTTCACAACCTTCATGGAAAGCCCCGCATTATATAACCTTTGTAAACATAGTTAAAATTTACTGTTACTTTGTATATTTTGATTTTATATTGCGAAATAAAATTGAATTGAATTGAAAAAAAATAATATAATGATTTATGGCTATTTTTAAAGTATTGGCGGCCATATTGGACGCCATTTTGAAAACGGGCCCGATTTTTCGTAGATTTTAGTATGTTCTTCCCGATGTCCAACACTAACGGACACCGTTGAGAAAATGTTTGTTGCAATTTTCGGAGGTCAAATTCTATATGGTATTGACCTGAAAAATAACTGTCATGCTGCAATCAAAAAAAATTCTTCATATGTGGATAATAACAATAATAATAACATACATTTATAACGCGCAGAAAACTATGCAAATATATTCTACTGCGCTGCAAGAGTTCCTGATGTGTTTAAATGTATATGTTCTTTCCTAGCAACAATCAATGTATGCAATTTGCATTCTGACTATTGAAATACATTATGCGTCAGATGTGAATGAAATAATGTGTAACGAGGCACTTAACACAGATTTGGGCAATATGTTTGATTAAGTTACGAAAATGATTTATTTGGAACAACAATAGATCAGTCTTGCCGTAGTGTTTTGGACCCGCTGCAGTCGCCCTATTTGGGAGTTAGGGAGTCCATAGACTCCATACAGTCATATACAATTACCCGTTACAGTAATATCACTAACTAGACATGAAAGCATAAACTGTTAATCTTTTTATTACTGACCGAATCAAAATACTATTGAATACGTCGTATATTATCTATTACATCCTGCATCAAAAATTTGTTGGCTTTTGATTGGTTGAGAGCTTGTCACATGACCAGAAATATTTGACCTATTTTTAGAAAGTACTATATGAGAGTACTATTTTGGTTTACTATTTGGGAGTTGAAAAAAAAATGTGAATTTTTTTTTTTTGAATTGAGTCATTTTTTTTTCTTCAAATCTTAATTTAATGAAAACAAAATATTTTAAATCTTTTTTTTTAATTTTTAAAAAAAAAATACATTTTTGATGCAGGATATAAAACAAATATACCATGCCTTCTATTCGAGGTACTGGTTAAACTATGGGCCTCGGTGACTCCAAAAGTACAATTTGCTTCGGGGCTGCGCCCCTCAGCAAATAGTACTATTGGAGTCACCTCTTGCGCATAGTTTTAACCAGAACCTCTCAAGGCAGTGTATATTTGTATACTATGTGGTATGTTAATTTACATATGTTGGTGATTTTTCAATCTATTAGCAGATTTTGCGATTTGTAACTTGCATATTAAATGTTCATCGAAAAAAAAGTAATCCTAGATTTCTAGCACTAAGTAATGGTTTTATAACAGAACTTTCGACTTACATTCCATCTGCTGCCATGTAGCATGAGTTTGTTTTGTTGCACACGCATCCACGAATATAATCACCACATGCTTCTATGGTTGAGATGCTATGCCCTAGAGCAAGTACATCAGGCGTGAAAAACAAGTACATCTCTGTGTCATCTGCGTAACGGTTGCATGATATTCAAGGGAATTTATTTTGCTATTAGTAATGAAATTGCTTTGTGTAATAATAATAATAATAATAATAATAATATTTAATTTGTATATAGCGCTTAAAATACAAATGTCTCTAAGGGCTTTACAATACTATTACCCCGTTCATTTGATTTAGTACTTACCCGCACACACTGTGTACAGAGTGAATAACAGATGGTCCAGCCGACGGGAAACATGAAGTAAATTACTATGATTGAAAATAGATATTGTATGTAAATAATTTTTTTTTGCTTTTGGAGCCCATGGAAGAACAGGACCATTTTGAAAATGGTCATGAAGTGGGCTTTCCAACCAGATACTTATACACATTTACCTACCTTCTTATCATTTGAACTGTGTTTATATATGTATGTTTTTAAAACTTGTATGTATGTATGTATGGATTTCGGAAATAAAAACAAACAAACAAAGTGGTGAGATCTAAATGGAGTTTGTGAGAGGTTTTGCTCAGATGGGTGATTGTGTAATTCAATACTCTGTGGCCCGAATTCACAAAGGAGGTTTGCCGACAAACCTTGGTTTTCGTACGTCATATGACGCGTTTTAACGCTTTTTTTTACAAACCTGGTTTGTAAAAACGCGTCGAATGCGTCATATGACGCACGAAAACCAAGGTTTGTCGACAAACCTCCTTTGTGAATTCGGCCCTGTGAGTCCAGGGGGCGCCACACCGGTGCTGCGTATTCCAGAGCAGGGGGTGTTTCACGTACAAAACTTGTCATCAGTGACAAATGACATTTGTTGTTATTAGCTACTGAAATCCTTGCTTCTGATTGGTTATCAGCAGATTCGTCAGTGATAATTGTCATTTGTCATTGAAAAAAGGCTTTGTGAAACGGGTGCCTGGTCCGACGTAGTACTTGTAAACGGCTGTTCACACCGCAAAGAGATAGCGCGGTCGTTTCGGTCCGCCCAACAGCGAGCCAGGGCGAGCCAAAACGGCGTGCCACTGGAGCACCTCTTGGGGGTGGTCCACGAGAGATAGCGCGGTGTAGCGCGCGCTAGAAAAAAAGGGGTGCTACGATAGACCGCGCTATCTCATTGCGGTGTGAACAGCCTCTATGTCTTCTCGTGGGATTTGAAATTTCTTGAGTTCGCTCAATATGTGTACTCATTTCCTGCTTTTCAATGTCCCATTTCAGGTCATCTTGAACCCAGAGACCGGGGATTTTCGTTTCATTGACCACATCCGAAACTTTAGGGCCTAGAGATTTGTCAGGCGCGGATCTACGGGGGGGGGGGGGTTAGGGGGTTTAAACCCCCCCCCCCCCCTTGGGCGGGCCAAAAAAAAAAAAAAAAAAAAAAAAGGAAAAAAAAAGAAGAAAAAAAAAAAAAAGAACGCACGCTGGAGAGAAACCCTTTCAAGTGCAAATATTGTGAGAAGATATTCAACTCATCTGGTAACCTAACCAAACACATGATAACTCTGGATATAACTGTGTATTTAACTGTTACTTGATTTAAAAAGACGTTATCATGCACTGCTTTTTATGATCTCCATTGTGTTAATAGATGCCAGGAAAACATCACTTACGGGGTTCAAATAAACACCCCCCAAAAAATCGGCTCGCCGCTTCGCGGCTCGTGGACGATGCTCTGCATCGTCATTATTTTGGTCAAACCCCCCCTTAGCAAAAAGCTAGATCCGCCCCTGTTTGTCCGGTACGTGGTGCTGGTTTGGTTCTCTTGAAGCAAATCTGGAGTTGTTTACATTAAGCTGCATTTAGGTGAAAGTAGTCTTGGTCAGCCCATTGTACCAGGTCGTGATCGTTGACAGCTTCCTGCAGAACTGATGAGAAGGCTCATTAACGGTCTTTGTCTCCCCGATGCTAAGATCGTCCACGTATTTCAATGTATCATGTATGCACCTCTGTCGATTCCAGTACATGCGTCAATGATGACTGCTAGAAAAGCTAGGGGCCGATCTTTGTTCCCTGTGGAACGCCACAGGTTAGTTCATTCCAGGAGGAGATAGCGCTTTAGTACTTTACTCTCTGCTTGCCGGTTCGTTAGAAAATCGGCGATCCATGGGATGATTTCTGGACGGACTCCCATGAGCAGCTTATAGTTACAACGTCTACAACCACGGTATGGTCTACCGTGTCAAAGAACCTTGAGAAATCTGTGACCACAAGATTTCCTACAATACCCTGTTTGCCTGATTCCTTGTAGAATTTATGCATCATTTTAATCAAGCAGTGTGTGGTGGAGCCCTTGAAACTGACATACTGATGCCGTTCAACGCTTGGTCCCATGTCATGTTGGCAGGCAGCAAGTGAAAACGAATTCGTGTAATCAAATTATGGAAGTGCACGCATTACTTTGAAACAACAGAACCTTTTTCCGGATTGAGGTGTCATATAAAAGGGCAGGAAATGAACTCTCTAGAAATGTGATTTTCTCTTTGAAATTTAGATACCGCCCTAAAAATGACGTTTTAGTTTCCTCTCTTCAAATTGTTTTTAATCACTCATGCGTGAAATATGCATCATAATAACTTGCATCAAAATAATGGAAGAGAAGGATCCAAGCTTTACAAATATATGTCATTTATTAACTATAATTGTGATTAAGTTATGATAAAACATCGATAATTCTCTGTTTCGTTTTTTCTGGGACGCACTATATAGTAATAGACTAAATTTCCAGACTCTTCGATCTGGCGCTGCTCAGTGGCTGCCGGGCTCACGATCAATTGGGCAAAAAGAAGTTCCGTTTCGGTTTAATAAAATTTGGAGTGGACTATTAGGCTATTATTGCTTTGACTCTGTAGTATGTGATATTTTGTTGATGCCTGTGATATGATTGAATTGTTTGTGATGTGCTTGATATTTGTAATGTTTTGCGTGAACGCTTATTTTGTGGAACCGACGGAAAAAGGATGAACCATTTGCATGGGTACTAATGAATGAAAAGTTCCCGTTACATGTGTCGTGGGGTGGGTTGCATGGGATACCAGGGTTGGACCGTTTTAGGGAGCAGAGTGAACTCAATAGGAACTTTTAGATTGGCACGACGACATAGTGGATTGCTACGTGTGACGTCCTTATAAGGCACTGTAATGTCCTTTTAAAGCATTGTCAGTGCCTTATAAGGACGTCACGCGTAGCAGTCCACTATGTCGTCGTGCAAATTAAAAGTCCCTAATGAAAGCTCGGGGACACTGGGGCTCGTTCCTAGAAACCAACGACAAGACAGTCATAACTTTATCCGCCAACTACGGAGATATCTCTGATCTTTCGTTTCACGAAGAGCTTACTAGCTAGTATCTCGTGAGATCGATAATATCAGAGAGAAGAGGAGCCGAGACTTAGCCTTAGTCGCAATACCACCGGATTATTACAAAATTAATATTAGGGAAAATGCAATTATTTAAATGAATTAGTAATGAAAAAGATTGAAAATGATACCAAGAAATAAAAGATGCAATATACTACCAAATGCGTGTAGATTATACAAAAAAGGTACTTATAAAATATAATTATGAGTACATGACTGGTGAATCAGTTTTGTTCTTGAGATAGGTACCCCCCGGATATTTTCGTTTGATAGTTTATAAAAATACACCAATATATTATTCTTAGAAAAATACGATGTAATGAAGTTTGTGTCCAATGTTTTAGGTGTCAGTTCAATAATCAAATGACAAAACTTCAACATTCCAAACGTTAAAAAAACATGTTTTAAACTATTCATTTTACACATTTAAAGATAGAATTGATCTCGAAAGCAATGGGTCTGAAAACTAAAGAACACACTTCGAACTATGGCTTGCCTGCCGTGGCAAAATACATATCCCTTCGACGATTTTACAATGTGGAAATAAAGGCGTATAATCAGTGTATTTAAGTGGGAAAATCTTTAAATACAAAAAACGATTACTCACTGTTTAAAGGTAATACAAAGTTTTGGGAAACTTAGAAAATTGGGTGGATAGTGAATCTTTACAATTTTGATATATTTGGATGCCCCTGTGGATGTATTATAAGCACTAAAAAAATTAACCCCTAAAACACTTCTGTTTTCAAGAAAAATTGAATATATATATTTACCGGTGCTCCCGGTAAATTTTGATAAATTTCAAATAGCGCCTACGGCCGTACAATGGTAGCTGCGACCATGAAAATCTCAGAATATGTAGTTGTGATATATAATTTCCAAACGGGAATAGCTAATCGGTCGATTTTAGTCAAGAAACATTGTTTCATAGCTAAATTGGTATCTTGACCTTGAGAGGGAGCTATACAACATAAAGGGTTTATTATTTACAATTTCATAACTTTAGACTCGATTTCAACCGATACAACGATCAATGAATAATTAGGAACGCATATGCTTCCAATACGTTAATTTGAACCAAATTCATGACCCCATACCAAAACTTTATAATACCTTTAAATGAATGTGTAGAAAAATCATAGTTGAAGGATTTATTGTCCTTTTTTTGCCAGCCATAGTCTACCCAATAAATGACATGTGATGGCGCTGCCCATCGACTAAATAGTTATGACAGAGATACGAGGCGTCATTACTACTTAGTCAGGATGTTTTCGTTGATCTTGGCAAAGAGGGCTTGGTGAAACACATAGCGGACAAGTTGCTCACTAACGCTGATTTAGTCAAGAAGTTAGACTTATCAGGGATTTGTGATTATCCCTGGACTTATGACGTTTTCTAGGAACGGGCCCCTGATCCAGTTACTTCAAGTCTTTATTGAAGTTTGCATGTATAAAAACAACCCAAATTCAAAGGGCTACTGGTGCAGAAACCGCATATGAAACCAGGACATGACTTAAAGGGCCACTCTAACCAAAACGGGCTAAAAAGGGAAGAAGAAAAAAGCCATGTAGAACAAAAATTGACGGAGATTCCGAACATGAAAATGATCTTTCTTAGAAATGATCAATAATTCTGGAATCTAGCTTTAAAAAGGACGACCCAGAACGCTCAGAAAAAAAGCCCAGGTTCGGCGCTGTATGACGCAATAGCATATGGCGTCACTGCAGGAGCCTCTGAAAAGGAGGGTGATTTAGGCATTAAAATGTCTTTAAAAAAGCAAACTATGATATAAATTAGGGGTGAAAGACATTAATTGATCCGAAAAAATAATATGCACTCGATAATCCCAGTCCGTTTGTGGCAATTCCGTCATTCCTAATTATGAATTACAATGAGATTGTAATATCCTTACAAATCGGACATTCCCGCAATGACGCCAAAAGCGTCATCAAGCCACGTGACCGTATTACTTTTCTTTTTTCGAGGGGCGTAGCCCATCATACGTGAGATCTATGAAAAATGAATGATTATTTTCATTTATTGGTCAATTTAGATATTTTCTGAAAAAATCAGAGGCTGGCATATTAATAAGTAGAGGTGTATTCATGTTTTAAAAGGCTATAATTATTGGGTTAGAGTGGCCCTTTAAGGCTTCTTACACAGGTCAAGATGCAATTTTCTCTTGACCGTCTGTGATTACATGCCCGACTTCAACCAGATACTCACCACGCTGCCGAAATGCATTGACACCATGTCATCATCCTATTAAAAAATCACTTCGCCGTAGCAGAGCTACTACAACAAATTCAATTTCAAACTAACTTCTTTTAAGCTATGGTCACAAATCAGAGCAGCGACCCCAGGTCGAAATTCCATTAGGATCCGATCCTATTGGACCATCAGAAACCATTAGAGCTATTGGTGTCTAATGGTTTCAATAGGGAAAGTGAAATGATGGACCCACAGAAACCATTAGAAAATATCTCTTGGACCAACACAAACCCACAGAAAGAAATGCTGATGGACCAACAGAAAGCTTCTATTGGACCAGCATCCACCCATGTCTTCTATGGGTTTCTGTTGGTCCATTAGATATTTTCTTCTATGATCGGTTTCTGTTGGTCCATTAGATATTTTCTATGGGTTCCTGTTGGTCCATTAGAGATCTTTCTATGGGTTTCTAATGGTCCCATATTCTGAATTCCCTATTGAAACCAATAATCCAATGGCTTCTATTGGTAAATCAATAATGATAAATCAAAACCGACTTTAGCAACTGTCCACCAAAAAAAGTATATTCTAATCTCAATTGCATTAACTTCATCACATAGATCATTTGAAGTGAGTTTAAGAATATCTTTTATTTTAAATGAAGGCTTGTACTATTTTATATAATAAACATACATGAATTGTTTGTTGGTTAGTAATCATTATAATCAATATATCTATTGCTAAAACGTGAATGAAATTGTAACATGATTAAACATATAGATCTAGATCTAATCGATTGGTCATTAGTTGCCGAAAGAAACTAAAAATCACAAAATTGATGTACATTGTCACAAGTTGCTTAACAAATTATGATAAATGTAATTTTCTTTGAACACGTATAAAGTAATCATGAATATGCATGAGATAGATTTAGCTGTTGGTTTCTATTGGTTTCTATTGGTCCCATTGGGTTCTATTGGTCTCCTTGGTTTTCTATTGGTCCTATCGGTCCTATTGGTCCTATTGGTCCTATATTGGTCCTATCGGTTCTATTGGTTTCTATTGGTCTTATTGGTTTCTATTGGTCCTATTGGTTTCTATTGGTCCTATTGGTTTCTATTTCTATTGGTTTCTATGGGTGCTATTGGTTTCTATTGGTTTCTGATGGTTTGAATGGTCTCTATTGGATTCAATTCTATGGGTCCAACAGAAACCAATAGACTCCAACAGAAACCATTAGAGACCAATAGAATTTTTCTAATGGTCTCTATTGGTCTCTATGGGATTTTCGACCTGGGACCGACCGATCAGTAGCCTGCTCGGTCGCTGCTGAAATTAAGCATCGCCCAGCAATTAGGTCAGTGCCCGGGCGGCGACCGCCCAGGCACCGAGCGTATTTTGGGCGGAGAGTGAAAAATGAGCAGGCGCCGCCCAAATTTTAACTCCGCGCTAAAACTTCAGCGGCGACCGAGCGATGCCCAAAAAAAGAGCGTTGTCTGGGCCACCGAGCGGCGGCGCGCCGCCGCTCGGTGGCCGGGCAGCCGCCGGGCAGAATTGGTTAAAAACTCGCCGCTCGGCCGCCGAGCAGGCTACTTTTGGGTAATGTGACCATAGCATAACATGACGTAGAGACGTCAAACATCTAATATAAGTGAAAAAGTAATCAGGCCGATCATCTAAAAAATTCTGATCACCTGTCTACAAAGAAATCAGTCCCTCATGTTTGAAAGGAGCTGTCAGACCAGTTCACGGTTAGCACATGACCCCGGATATCCATAGATCTTCAAAACATGAAGAGGTACGTCACACTTTGTACATTTTGAAATAATCACCCTATATACAGCGATGGAGGTGCTGCAATTAATAGCATTTGTTTCCCCTTTTCAAATAATACTGGTCTGTGTATCATGGAGTGCACTGCCTGTGCATGCATGAAAAGTGATACAATTGAACTGGCTGAGTGTCGGTACTACACTTGGATGGGCAAGTTATATTGTTATATATATATATATATATATATTGGAGAAGCATCTATCGAAAGAGCTAACAAGTGGGCAGTGCATGGAGCCAGCCAGACGTTATCACAGCAGATCGGAACCGACCGACAATATGTATAACAGACTGACTCTTTCGGTGTACGGATCTAGCTGAGACCACTATCACAACATTTATTATAAAGTTTGTAAAGTTCAGTCATACACTTGAGAGACTATAATACTGTGGGGAAACTGTTCTCACCCTATTTAAGAAGACTGAATTAATTAAAATCCTCACTAGTTTTTAGCTTGTGCCATGGCATCGGAACGGGACATTTCTAAGCGCGTTGAGAGTTGTTCTTCTTTCGAATTTCAGTTGAGAGACATCAATACAGCGTATGGGAGGAACAAATTCGATGAAAATCACAACAAAGAGGTAAGCTGGTCGATACTCGTATTAGACTTTCATGCATGTGAGCATTAAAGGCCAAAATACAAAGTTTTGGTATGGGGTCATGAATCTGGTTCCCGGCCCCCCCACTCAGAGGTCGGAATGACCGCATGCGTGTTGCCAAAATGTCCGGTAAAGGGGTACTTTTCGTGCGACAAAGTCCGGCCCGAGAATTGTAAAAAAAGGGGTGTATTTGAATTTCACCCGGAGATTTCTTTAAAAAGGGGGTGTTTTTCTTTTTTTCTCTCATCTCTTTGGACTCCTGAGAAATTATTCCGAATTTAGGGGGGTACATTGAGCATTTTTCCTGATTTAGGGGGGTCTCCAAGGCAGGAAAAGCCCGCGAAAAGCCCGCGAAAGGGGGGTTCGGAAATGTTGGCAGTCCTCAGATAGGGGTGCTTTCAAAAAGAGGGTACGAGCATATGCGTACCCTAAATAACACTGAGTGGGGGGGGGGGGGGGGGCCGGGATCTGGTTCAAATGAACATATTGGAAGCATATACGATCCTACAATATTCAGTGATCGTTGTCGCGGTTGAAATCGAGCCTAAAGTCATGAAATTATAAATAATAAACTCTTTTTGTTGTATAGCTCCCTCTCAAGGTCAAGATATTAATTAAGCTATAAAACAATGTTTATTGACTAAAATCGACCGATTAGCTATTCTCGTTCGGTAACTATATACCACAACTACATACTCTGAGATTTTCATGGTCGCAGCTACCATTGTACGGCAGTAGGAGCTATTTGAAATTTATCAAAATTTACCGGATGCACCGGTAAATCTTTATCTATTCAATTTTTTTTCGAAAGCAGAAGTGTTTAAGGGGCTAAAATTTTGGTGTTAAGTTTTTTAATACATCCACAGGGGCATCCAAATATATCAAAATTGTAAAGAATCACTATCCACCCATTTTCAAAAAAAATCCCAAAACTAAATACTTTTAAATTAATGCTCACATGCCATTAACACTATCCGATCTAGCGTTTTATGCGTCGCCAGCAAGGATATGTGCTCTGGACATGAAAAGAGGAAATGAGGAAAATAAGACAAAATCATGATTATCGTTAATTATTGACACAAGAGTAATGCTTCCTTCTAACCCACTTTCCTTTTTTTCGTCAAGGGTATAATAAATCTTGCGACTGCATACAACGACGCAGTCCGAGATCTCATCACTGAAAAGGTAAAGCTATACATTCATTTTTCGGGATGCTCTCAAATCATAATAGATCGTTACGTCTGCTTAGAGCCAAAATGGCATTAAAGATGAAGTTGAGTTCTGGTCATGCGATTGCATTGTGAAAGAAACGGTGTGGAACCGACCAGAAAAGGTTGATCATCTAGCATATTAGAATTTGTGTGTATAGCAAGGTTCTGGAATCATCAAAATGATAAGAAATGTGGCCAAGTCTTGGTAAAGTTACAAACACTTGCACATGCAGAAAGATGTATATGGGACTACACGAACATGTGGCGTAAAAAGCCGGCCCCCCGATTTTTACGATGTTACATGCATATTTAGAATATGAAGGCATTTGAAGAGCCATGCTTTTCAGGGAACATCTCTTAACTGATGTTCTTCCACACTTGCATAATAAGAATGAGTAATGCTCACAAATTATTTTTCACCTCTTCCCAGAACTCAACCTTCTCTTTAAGTAATATTATTTCAGCACTATTAACGAATTTTAGCTCTCAACAGACGATATTTAGACACTATATGGAAAAAATATGACATGGTCTACATGAGCAAAGTCTTATTTGCAGAAAGAAAAATGATGAAATAATTTGACGTACGTTTAACAAAAAAGGGAAATTAACCCTTTGTTAAAATTTGGAAGCAAGAAAATCACAGTAGATCAAGCGTGTGACAGTTTTAGAAAAGGTGGTCACATGATTTTTGGTTTGTAAAGTAATAAATGAGTGAAAGTTGAGAAACAGTCGCGGTTTAGATAGAATAACAACAAGGGGCAGAGAGACGAGAGAGACGAGAGAGAGAGAGAGAGAGAAAGAGAGAATGAGAGTGCTCAGGTAGGGAAGACACGTATTAAAGGCGAAGATCAAAATAGTTTGTGCCGCTCATGGACAAAAAAAACATCAACATACATGATAAATATCCAGCTACTAGCCTACTACAAGCATGACAAGTTGCATAGTAAAAGCTATATGCTAAGCCCGCTCCATCCTTTATCTTAATTAACCTGTTTCGCTACTTATCGAAATCATTTATCATATTTTGACAAATTATTAGTTGAACCAGCCAGACTTCATGACGTGGGACTCAACGATGCTACCATATGGGGATCGCAATGGTAGTCTCCGCCTCCGGAAAGCCTTATCTGGGTTCTTATCCAGCTGCAGTGGTCAGAAAGCTCCAGAAACTCTCGATCCGGATAAGGTATACAATTATTCTTCTTCTTTTTATTTATTTGTTCATTTATTTATTTATTACTATTTTTTTTTTAATTATTATTTTTTATTTTTTTATTTATTTATTATTATTTTTTTTTTTATTTATTTATTTATTTATTATTATTATTTAGAAATTGCAGTTTCACTAAACTTGCTTTTTTTTGGGGGGGGGGGACGTGAAGAGGAGAGTCACCACCTTTGCAAGTTAAAAACCCATTGCACTATTCGTATAAGAGTAGGGGAAAACCCTGGTGTAGTGGTCCACTTGCACACCCCCAGTCAGTTATACCGGGAGGAGAGACCCGAGGGTTACAGTGATTCCAAACAATTGATATTAATAATATGGGGTAGCAATATACCCTTTCATAGGACTCATGATAATTTGTTTAACAGTTGATTCCACTCGGTTGAGTCCATTGTTCGCAGGATAATTTGTTCATCGTCTCTACAATGCTATTTGAGTAAACAACATTTGTTATTTTAATGTATGGCTACCTGGAAGAAGTTTCTATTGTGGTAAAGAATTTTCTGTTTTGTACCCAGTAGATCACGCTGATTCCAAGATTTTTTTTTTTTTTTCTGACTTGGTTTCAATGACAAAATCGAGCACGCGATCTTAATCTATTGGGTGCAAGCCAAACAATTTCTTTACAACCATAGACAATATTGTGGTACTATTTTATGTAGCATCACTTGGCAATCACATGGCAGATAACTTAATTAGTACCAGGTTTAATAATTTTAAAGAAAGCTGAATTTGAACCCCGGACAATGCTCTCTCTCTCCCCCTCTCTCTCTCTCTCTCTCTCTCTCTCTCTATATATATATATATCTCCCCCCCTCTCTCTCTCTCTCTCCCTCTCTCTCCCTCCCTCTCTCTCTCCCTTTTCTACCCTCTCTTTCTCTCTCTCTACCCTCTCTTTCTCTCTCTCTCTCCCTCTCTATCTCACCCCCTCTCTCTCTCTCTCTCTCTCGCAATACGATCGGGGAAATGTATGTGTCCTTTTTGTCTCCTCCAACCCCTCCCCCTCTTTACTAACGATAGCCTGTACAGTTTTAACGCTATTACCTTCCATATATAAACAGTACTGCAATCCTATTATTACTCGAGGATCTAGCACTTTTAATACTTAATTAAATGTTTTGACAATAGACCTCAAATTTACCTCAAATTATCACTTTTGGAACCGAGCTCTTCAACTTATGCACCGTGATTTACAAAGTTTGGTCTTTCTCATTCGTATAGTTCATAGTTCTGAATGGAGTGACGTCTGCACTGAGTGCGATGGCTTACGTATTATGTGACAAAGGAGGTATATATTTATTTATGCGTCTCACTTATTATTCGTTCTCCAATGTCTGAAATAAAGCACTAATTTTACAGGATTCCAATGAAAATCTAATAGCAAAACCACTGCTCTTGTCACTTGTAAAAAATGTATGTCTTCAAATAAAATCGGCTTCATATCAATGCAGATGGAGTCCTGTCGGAGAAAATGTGGTTGCAATTTAAATGTTATTAAACCATGCACATAATTTTGCCCACATAATTTTTTTTTCTCCCCAGAATACGTTTTTTAAACATCCCATCACCCCCTCCAAAACTCAGAATTGGTGGGGGGGGGGGGGGGGGAGCCTAAACGGATGAACTGCTTTAACTTCCGTTCTCAATTGAAGCTCCTTGTAAAAAAAAGGAAGAAAGCATATGGAGAGGGGAGGGAGAGTGAAAGAGACGTAAGGTGGGTGAGAGAGAGAGAGAGAGAGGAAAAAAGGGTGGGGTGGAGAGGGAAAGAGGGCAAACGTGAGAAGATGGGGAATGTGAGTGGTCTGATGGAGGTGGATAGCTTGAACATAATGCCATACACATCCTGTGTAGTCATGACGATTTAAATGTTTTCATGTTCACACTTGCCTTCACAAACTACTGCAGACACCATTTTGACTCCTGCTCCCATGTATGGAGCTATACCACGTGACCTTCTGTTCCAGTATGGAGCGAAGACCTTTCCAGTGTATCTTAGCAGCAAGGTAAGTATAAAATACATCCTCCCAATATTTTCACTTCTGCATTTATGTTTTAGTTCTTAAATTTTCACTGAGGTGGAAAAAAGAGAAAAGAGATCATATTTCGTGATTTTCCCAACCAAAGAAGAGTGTTTAAGTATATCCGAATTGCTGACATAAAAAATAGTAGCGTCGCACCCTAAACCCTTCAGCGGCCCCTTGTTACTTTTCAAGACTGTTAACAAAAATGCAGGACCTATTAAGATAATTGTTAAATGGATCTTTTTCCTCATTAATATTGAAGGCAGAACTAGATGGAAGAGAACCGTTTGAACTGACTGTTCCTCTTCTTGAGTCAGCGTTGGAGAAAGCAAAACAGGAGGTATGTACAATGGCTACAGCCTATGAGAACGACAGTCCATTGCCTTAAAACAGAAAAATCATTTCTTGATATCAAGAATTCATTTCTTGATATTAAGAAATAGGAATTAATGTTGAAACGGCTTGCCATAGAAACGCAGCAATACGCGAACCAAATAATATGCAAAGGTGTGACTCAGGCATAACTCAAGTATATCTTCAAGTCCGAGAAAACTGTCCCCGCGGACAATTATTATTGCACCCAGAGTTGTTTTACTCGGACAACTACCTTGGTGGAAATTTTCCCTCGCTCTAACTATTCCCGAGAGAAAAAACTACCCATTAACTTTATTCTTGTAACTATCCTAGGCAAAATGCCCCCACCGCCCCCCCCCCAAAAAAAACCTCACCGACACCACCGGCTAACTACCCCTTTACATTGAGGATGGAGGTGGTGTACCGTAATTAAATAGGTTACTGTATTTAAGGGCACTCTAACCCTTGTGATAATTTTATAAATTTCGTATGAAAGCGGAAAAAAGATAAACAACATGACGAAAGTTCGAAATAAATCGGAACAACAATGACAGAGTTATTTGTGTTTTAGATATGAGATCACTCATTCTACGCGAATCGAAAATTGGCAATTTGATAACAGGATTGTGACGTCTAATCGGTTAACTCTCCCGTTTTTCGTGTATAAAAATATAAACTTCTGTTTTTCGCCTGAGCGGGTCCTCCCTTGGGGCAGATCCAAAAATATATTATGGGTAGCATATTATCGTAAGTCTTCTAAAAGGGAAAAAGCCATCCCGGGTCATACATTTTGAAAAACTTACATTTGAGTAATTTTGTGTGTTTGAACAATCGTGAAAGTTGTCCGACAATTCGTTACAGTGACACTGCCGGTTCAGCCAATTTGAAGTGCCTTTAGTGATTACAAATTCATAACTTTCTAATTTTGCGTCCGATTTCACCAGTCTGTTTTTCTGATTTGTCTGCTTTATTTAGAATTATTTACTGTAAGGTTGGATTCCCATGAAATCCGAATCTATATTGAAAGAAAGCAGAAATGTTCATAAAAGGCTTGCTTTTTTCCCCTTCATATTTTATGTCCTTTTTTATTCAAAATACCTCTCGATTATCAGCATTATTTCCACTCTTTTTTTATCATTATTATCATTATTATTATAAATATATTTATTATTATTATTATTATAATTATTGTTATCATTACTATAATCATTATTATCATGTTTCTTCATTATGATCGTAATCGTTATCATATCATTTCAATTATTATTGTATTATCATTAATATTATTATTATTATTATTGCAATAAATATTAGGGACATAACGTCAGGGCTCTTTTCCTGGTCAATCCTGCCAATCCGAATGGAACCGTGTACACCAAACGACAAGTTTTGGAATACCTCACATTTTGTAAAAGGTAATATACGATATATAGATGCAATGCAGAAGAATAATAGAATAGAAAATGATAGGATATGTTAGGATAGGATAGGATATCTTTGGCCGGATAGGATAGAATATAATAGAATAGGATAAAATAGGATAGGGTAGAAGAGATTACCTTGTGGTATAACGAAGATGTAAAATGTATTATATTCACACTAAATTAAATCACAGAATGGTTTTTTAATGTTCGAATCTTACCCCCCCAAATAAGTACATAGTAATTTCCGTTTTATACGTTATTTAATTACTATCAGGTTTACCCGAATACGATTTGGCAAAATACTCAAGAATATTTAGTGTCAATACAGTGGATTTAATATCAAGTATATCGGCCGTCTTCTGTATTTGATTATACTTATTCAATTATAATCATTTCCATGTATGTTATACGTATTTGTTTCCATATTTTGTTATACTACATTCGTAAATATACATGCACTAACATGCAATTAAGTAAGCTTATCTACATGTTAGTACATGTATATTTACGAATGAAGTGTAAAAAAACAAATAATAACAAAATTTAGTAGATTGGTAGAAGCTTAAAATACAAACGATTACTTCAACCATTAAACGTTTCCTTTGTGAATTAAGTTATAAAATACAAAATACAATAACAATTTAAAAAGTGTAACAAAGTAGCTTAATCAAATGTTGTTATATACATTTTTTCATTTACAGGCATGATCTACATTGCGTGATTGATGAGATCTATGCTGCTAGTATCTTTGAAGAGTCTGTAGAGAGTTCCAGTATATTCACCTGGCATTCAGATGAGCTACCGGACAAGACAAAGACACATGTCATATGGGGAATGGCAAAGGTTATCAATTTTACCATCCATATTTATGGTTTGATAGTTTGTTGATATTCGACTGCTAAGAAAGCATGTGCATGCCTGTCAGTAAGCAACCTGGGGACAAACGGCTTTAAGTCCTCTCCGATGGACTTTGTACTGATGATTAGTCCTAATGCCTTTATACTCGCTAGCTTGTCGACTAGGTTTCGAACCCGGGATCTCCCGGTAACGAGACCACTACTCTACCACTGAGCCATCGCGCCACCATTAATATTATTCCTACAAATTATGGGCGAACGGAGGGAAGGGAGGCAAAATGACCTTCGCCTGTAGAGACAAAATATAGCCTTTTAAGGCTAAGTTAATTTTAGGACTAAAAGGAGCCCCCACCCTCTTCCCGAAGCAAAGGAGGACCGGCGGGATTCCTGAAAACATGAACCTGAGAAACAGCAATGTCGGAGACAATATTCACCATACCCCCTCTCTGAAAAAGCCCGGATACATGCCCCTGTAAAGAACTTACATTGTTCTTTATATAAATAAATATCACATATTTGACTACCCCTTCTAAGTGGGTAAAGTGACCGCCCTGTGACATTTTTTCTTCCAGACCCGTGGCGTTCACGGTTCATGAACTACGTATCATGAATTGATGTGGTCTACAAGAATGAAACAATGTAATGGTCATTATTCTGTACCTATTGGCCTGAATTCACAAAGGAGGTTTGGCGACAATGACGCGTTTTTTTTTTACAAACCTGGTTTGTAAAGACGCGTCGAAACGCGTCATATGACGCACGAAAACCAAGGTTTGTCGACAAACCTTCTTTGTGAATTCGGACCATTTACTTTCGAATGACCTGGTCGCTTTTTTCTTCATTATTCATCAATTATTTAGTGTATGTAGTCATTTATTTGTTCAGGTATATATTTGTGTATTCATGTATATATTTATTCATTCATGTATTTATTTATTTATTTATTTACTTATTCGTCTGCTTTTTTATTTGACAGGATTTTGGAATGCCAGGTTGTCCACTCGGAGTCGTTTATACGTTAAATCCTCGAGTTTTAGCTGGCCTAGGACTTGTAATTGAATTCTCCCAGGTTCCAATTTTCATCCAAATAGCTGTGGCAAAATTACTTGAGGACAAAGGTAAAGAAGAGTCCTATTTCCATCTTTTTAAACACATGTAATTTATACCAGTATAAGACCTTTGACGAGATTTACCTAGTTGGTGATGTATTATTGATTTAAAACAATACATATTTATATAAAAATACAATTACCAGTAATTAGCAAGAGTTCCGGATAATATGAAAGCTTAAGCGGATCTGCAAGGAAAATTTTACCAAGATAGAAAACAAAAATTGTGTAGAAAGAACTTCTTCTCAACTTCTCTCAAAGAGTCTTCTTTTAAACTAGTCAAGAATTATCTAACAGATTATTGTCTTATGATGTTTAATCAATCGCCTTTGGAGAAGCGGAATTTACCGTTGTCTGAGAATTTGAGATCTTGTCATCATATCATGAATATCGTTGTAGGAGCATGATTGTGTCAGATCATGACCATGAATAAATTCTTTCATTATAAAACTGACAGTTCAAAGTCACGTGACAATTATGATAATCATCATAATAATGATAACAATAAAGATAATAATGTTCAATAAAATGTTTTAAATCGACAGCAAATTCACCTGACTCTTTATAGTGCGCAGTTTCTTTAGCAGACTCGGTGGAATTTTAATCGGTGGATAATGGATTTTATTTAAGTATTTTTGGTAGGAGTAATTGATCATATATGATTATGAATATGTATGTTTGTATGAATGTATTTATGTATTTAAATATAAATATATATATATATATATATATATATATATATATATATATATATATATATTGTATATAGGCTATGTAAGAAAAGTACTATCAAGGTCCTTTATTTCAATTGTCTTAATTATTATTTGTATATTCCCGCGACGAAGGATTATCAAAATCAAATTATATATAATATAGTGTGTATATTTATGTATATTGTTTTTTACTTAGAATGGTTGAAGATGTACCTTCCAACTCACAATAAGATGTTGATGGAATCGGCAACTATCGTAATGGAAACTCTGAAAGAGCTTGATGTGCCATTTGTGAAACCCAGTGCAGGGTTATTCATTTGGGCTGACTTTAGAAAGGTGGGTTTAGTATGCTTAACAGTGCGTCCCAGAAACCGAGAATTATCGATGTTTTATCATAACGTAAGTTACGGTCACAAAGGTTCGTCCGAACGATGCGTTCGTACGAATCTCTCTGTTTTTCCATTGTCTTCCCGAATTTCCATTGTCTGAATATCGTTCGTACGGCGTTCGTAGCATTTCGTAATGGCATTTGTGACCGCGAATTTAATCATAATTATAATGAATAAATGACACATATTTGTGAAGCTTAGATCCTCCTCTTTAATGTGATGCAACTCATATGATGCATATTCCACGCATGAGTGATTAAAAGCAATTTGAAGAGAGGACACCAAAAAGTCATTTGGCGGACGGTATATGAATTTCAAAGAGAAAATGAAATTTCTAGAAATTTTATATTTTGCCCTTTCATTTGACACCTCAATCAGGACAAATGAGCCAGTAATGACAAAGTTCTGTTTGCTTAAAGGTAAAATTCAAAGAAAATCACAAATATGTCAACTAATGTATCACTAGTAACTGGTAAGCTAACAGATGGCCATCGTACAAGTTTTAGGTCAACTACATATCTGTTGATTTATAAAAATACAAATACAACCACCTCCATAGCAGCTTGGATATACGAGAGATTAGCCGGAGAAATAACGATGTTTTAATGACGTCACTATATGGACCAATACTGCCCAAGCAGACGGCATCCCATAAAAAATGAACATAATTGCAAAGCTATTATTTGTCAAATTATAATAAGTTTAGTGTATATAAATGTAATGGCATGTCAAACCATTTAAAAGGGGATATGACCCAATTCTGATAACTAAAATCGTTTGCTTGTAAATACGCAGGATAGGGGTTAATTAACAATCAAAGAAACCAGACTTTCAAATTGAAAACCCCCGGAATTATATTAAGGACGGCATTTATTCCCTCTTGAAACGCCGAACATACCGTGCTATGCGGGGGCTGTATTTAAGCGTTTTGTAATTTATAATAATCATTCATTCGAATGTTTCCAAGCATTGAATTTTGATAACCTTGTCGAATCAAAGTTTCAACTTTGCAATAATGAAAATAAAGTTATTTTTAAAATCAATGAATATCTACTTAATTTGGTGCTTGCATTTCCATAATTTGATTAAACGAGTTCGTTTTCACTGCCTGCCTGCCGTAGCAATATTAACTCCGTTCCGCTGACGATTAGCCATGTATAAAAAGACTCAGTAAAAACTTCATGCATGACTGATCGTCAACAATTGTTTTGGTTGGGGGGGGGGGGGCGAGCGCCCCCTGCCTGCCCCCCCCCCCCCCACTTCCGGCGCCTATGGCTAGGGTATGACTCTTTATTGAAATATAGCCGGGATCAAATGTCGGGACAACACAATAACAGGTTATCCTTCCTCATTCTTGCACGCAGATCATCAGGAGTGCAAGCAAAGAATCCGAAAAGCAGTTTGCCATTCACTGTCTTAATCACGGTCTCGCCATCGCACCAGGGGCGGCCTTCTATTACAACGAATTCGGTTGGATTAGACTCGTCCATGCCCTACCGAAATACAAACTCATCAAAGGTAATGATGAAATAGTTATTTTCATTTTTCATTATAGTGTAATAATACCTTGATATCATTCATATGGGTATGAGGCGGGGGAGTAGGGAGGGCTGAGAGATCTGCAGCACCCTGAAATCACTAATATGAAGAAAAAAATAGTCAACTCATCTTCCGGCATCGAGATATTCTTTTCAATGTGTCTTATTAAGATCTTATCAGAAATAATCCAGAATGATTTTTTTTCTTTTCAATATCGATTTCCCTGTTTCCAGGAATGAAGAGACTTAAAGCGGCTTGTGCATCATTCCACACAACATCAAAACTGTAAACTGAGGCATCAGGGAATAATCTTCAGACAGAGCAGTGGCGTAGCGTGGATCCAGGGGGCACTTGTGTGTGTCTTTGGGGGAGACACGGTTTTTTTGTTAGTGCAATCTGTTATCAACCGGTCCCATAACAATAACAGCTTGACCTGCCCTTCGACGAAATACTCAACACTTTCCTCTACGCTTATAGGCCCGAATTCACAAAGGAGGTTTGTCGACAAACCTATGTTTATGTGCGTCATATGACGCGTTTCGACGCGTTTTTAAAAACCTTGAACGCGTCGAAACGCGTCATGACGCACATAAACCTAGGTTTGTCGACAAACCTCCTTTGTGAATTCGGGCCATAGTGTCCCCTCCCACCCATCCTTCTGATTAGGAGGTAGTTACATTCATTCCAATAGTGAAGTTTCGAACCCCGAAATAGTAACATTTAGCTAGATTATGGATATTTTATATTTTATAACGGGTTAAGGATATGATATAAAATTATTATTTTGTTGTTTTTAACGGTCACTTTTTTCTATGCAGCTGAACATTACAATTTATTGTTTTCTCTTTGTTGTCGACAAGTTTGGGACTCTGTCTCGAAATAGTAACCCCATTTAGATTTTACCCTAAAGTAACTTATACCATCTTATACATCGACATTAAGGTGGTAAGCCTGACTGTAGCCGTCGGGGCTAGCCCCCCCCCCCCCAGAAAGCTTCGAAACAGACACCACAGTCGGTTCGATCGATTTCACCCCGTCTTTCCCATGCACAAAACAATTTCTCAATGGGAAATAGTACAACCCTTACGGACTCGATTTTGTCAGAAAGAAGAGGTGTGGATGTACTAACTTTCGATTATCTTTAGGAGACTGGCGGCCATTTTGGACGCTATGTTGGATGTTTCAGGTTTCCTGGGGGCCATAACCCATTGTATGTGGTATGAATAGATTCTTCGACTCCCAAAACCAACTCCCAAGGTATAGACAGCAGAACTTCATCATAAAGATGGATATATCATGATTTATGCTTTTTTTTTGGCCATACTATAGTATTGGCGGCTATATTGGAAGCCATTTTGATAACAACGTGTTTCCGGGGGTCCGATGTTCTCATTTGTTGGTATGTTGTTCCTGATGTCAAACATTACCGAAAAGCCATTGGAAAACATTTTGATGCAATTTTTACGCGGGGGTCAAACCTTTTATTGACCTAACAAATAACCATAACGCTGTAATAAGATATCAGTTTATTTGTGGATAATAATAATAATAATACTGATAATATACATGTATAAACTGCAGAAAACTATGCAAATATATTTTAATGCGCTGCAATAGTTCCTGATTATTTTGCTTAAGACTACAACATAATTTTGTTTTCAAATTTGAAAAACCACAAATCAGTCTTGCACAAGTGTTATAGACCCGCTGCAGCCACCCTATGTGGTAGTCAGGGAGTCCATACAATAACATATTACAGTAGGCTACTCTAACTTGTTAGTGATCCAAGCATGAACAATCGTTTCATACTGACCTGATCAAAAGACTATTGAATACGTCGGATATTATATATCATGTGGTATATGTTGGTTTACTTATGTTGGTAATTTTTCAATCTATGAGCAGATTTTGTAATTTGTAACTTGCATATTAAATGTTCATCAAAAAAAGTAATCCTAGATTTCTAGCAATGGGTGATGGTTTTATAAAATAACTTCAGACATATACCCCATTGAAATTTAGTTTGAATACTTGTTTATTAGAAACGCCAATAAACAACAATTCAATTTTATTCGCATGAGTTTGCTTTGTTGCACGTGCATTCACCGTATATAATCCACACCTGCTTCTATGGATGAGATGCTGTGCCCTTGAGCAAGTACATCAGGCATGAAAGTCAAATACATCTCTGTGTCATATGCGTATAGCAGTGGTATGATATTCAATGGAATTTATTTTGGATAATACATATATAGTAATGAAATTGCCTCGTGTACAGAGTAAATAACAGCGGGCCGAGCCGATGGGATACATGAAATGGATGTTAGAGCTATTTGGCATATATTTGAGGATTATGGATATACCATATTCATAATATATTCGAGATTTTAAGAGAAAGGGAGGGAGAGAGAGAGAGAGAGTGAGTGAGAGTGAGAGAGAGAGTGAGAGAGAGAGAGGGATAGAGAGGGAGAGAGAGGGAGAGAGAGAGAGAGAGAGAGAAAAAAAGGAGAGCGTGTAAAGTCATTTCGTGAAGAAAACCATGTAGGCACGAACATGTCACCCATTGGAACAAAACATATTTAAACCTTTATTGTATCATTGTATCATGAAAATGCATTTTGTTAATTTCAAATAAACCGTCAATGAAATATAATAAAATATACATCAAATTAAAAGACTAGAATTTAATTCGTCACGAGGACGAATAAGGTGGTCTGTCTTCAAGTCTTATGATAGATTATAATATTTACTATCTTGAGAAAGGGAGAAGTTATATAGACATGTAAACAATGATGATCGTCATGATGATCATGATGATGATGATCTTGATAGTAATTGTGATGACGATGATGATGATGATGATCATGATGATGTTGATGATTATCATCAACAGACCATGATGACATCAGACTGAAAAAAATGAGACAACATTTAGATAGCATATAGTCTCAGCTACAACATACTCAAAAATCAACACAAATCAAGCCGAAATAAAGGCGATATTGCTCGCAAAAGACAAGAATGTAGAATCCAGATTTGAGAAAAAGTCATCTCCTATAAGGATTACACGCGAAAAGTAATGGATCAAGTGATACTGGGGAATAATAAAGGAAATATGGTTGTTTATTACATTATTTGCGATTGTACGTGTTTTAATATTCAAAGGAGATGGTACAGTGAAAGGTCAAAAAGAAAAAAAAGTGAAGAAAAAAATTGATGGAGACGCCCGGACTCGAACCAGGGACCTCGAGGTCGGAAGTCAAGTGCGTTACCGATATACCAAAACATTTCCCATAGAGATTACACGTAAACGAAAAATGGAAATCTCAAATCCCACTTTGTAAGTGAAATATGAGCATGATCCCGGCATCTGATCGAAAAATAAAGGGCACACTTACGATAGCATATTGTCTCAGCTACAACATACTCAAAGCTCAGCGTAAACAAAGATAAAACGACGGAGATATTGCTCGTGAAAGTCAAAAATGTAGAATCCAGTTTTGAGAAAAAGTCATGTCCCATAGAGAATACACGCAAAATGTGAAAAATTGACATGCCTCCTTTAATCGCAAAAATACGCCATGATGCCATTGTCAAAATGAAATATTCTGGTGACTGTATTTGTAGAAAATATTCTCAGCTAAAACATATCAAAATTTGAAAGAAAATTGGTCAATATTTACAGAGATACAATCAATTTTCCAAAAATCTGCTAACGTCATAATATACAAATTAAAATTTTGAGTTCGGAGGCCATTATGATGACGTCATGAGTTAATTGAGGGTCAAATGAGACATGAAATCATACCTCCAACTCATAATCTATTTAAATATGAAAGAAATTGGGGGTTATCTATCAATTCTGAAGAGTTAAAATGAATTTTGTATAGGCATGTTTTTGCCCATGTATTGTGGATACAGATAGCGCAGGTCGGCGCGTGCGTTCAACTTTGACAGCCGCTAATTGTGGTATTACTGGTCGGAAACAGGTAAACAAGGTATCAAAATGCTTGGAAAAATGTAATAAATATGATAACAGAAAAAATTTGGCGATTCTATGTTGCAAAATGCCAGGACGCGCGCGCATAATTACGCGCGCGCAAATTTTGAAAATGCTTAAAATAGCCTGAAACGTATGCAAAATTAATTTGGAACGAATTTGACCATTTTAAAATTTCAATGCGCGCGTACGTGCGCGTCGAGGTGCGCGCGCAGAATTTTTTGACATTTTTCGTTGACCTTTGACCTGAAGTTGATGTATATTAAATATGGTTGATTTTTGATGACTCGTTATCGAGATATGATAATGACCTGACTTTTACAAAATGGCGCCTGGATGACGTCACGATGACCTAGTGACCTTGAAAAAGTTAATTTGACTTGAAATCATAGGGCTTGATGACTGACAGAAATTTGAAGGCAATTGACCATGTTGATTTCGAGTAAACGTGTGGACAAAAAAGTGTACGGAAGAAATAAAAATAAAGAACTAGAAATTTAATTCGTCATGGGGACGAATTAGGTGGTCTGTCTTCAAGTCTTATGATAGATTATAATATTTACTATATTGAGAAAGGGAGAAGTTATATAGACATGTAAACAATGATGATCGTCATGATGATCATGATGATGATGATCTTGATAGTAATTGTGATGACGATGATGATGATGATGATCATGATGATGTTGATGATTATCATCAACAGACCATGATGACATCAGACTGAAAAAAATGAGACAACATTTAGATAGCATATAGTCTCAGCTACAACATACTCAAAAATCAACACAAATCAAGCCGAAATAAAGGCGATATTGCTCGCAAAAGACAAGAATGTAGAATCCAGATTTGAGAAAAAGTCATCTCCTATAAGGATTACACGCGAAAAGTAATGGATCAAGTGATACTGGGGAATAATAAAGGAAATATGGTTGTTTATTACATTATTTGCGATTGTACGTGTTTTAATATTCAAAGGAGATGGTACAGTGAAAGGTCAAAAAGAAAAAAAAGTGAAGAAAAAAATTGATGGAGACGCCCGGACTCGAACCAGGGACCTCGAGGTCGGAAGTCAAGTGCGTTACCGATATACCAAAACATTTCCCATAGAGATTACACGTAAACGAAAAATGGAAATCTCAAATCCCACTTTGTAAGTGTAATATGAGCATGATCCCGGCATCTGATCGAAAAATAAAGGGCACACTTACGATAGCATATTGTCTCAGCTACAACATACTCAAAGCTCAGCGTAAACAAAGATAAAACGACGGAGATATTGCTCGCGA